GTGTGTATATATATATATATATATATATATATATATATATATATATATATATATATATATATATATATATATAAATAAACTTACCAAAACCTGAACTGCAGGATACAACAGGGCCCTGTAAAAGGATTAACAAATTAAGTTAATAACATTACTCATTCATATCTAATGATATTCTATTTGGTTTAGTTCCTACAGTTCAAACTAGTAAAGTAGTGGTTCTGGAGCAGATCCAGTACGTCTCATTTTTATTTGACATCCATTTTAGGTTCTGAAGTCTGTACTAAGAAATGAATCAGGTTTTATTTCTATCAACGCTTACAAAATGTACCTGTTGGTACCTACAACACTGCACATCTGGCAAAAACTACAAGTCACAGGAGTTTGTGAACCGATATAACCACAGACGGTATAAGACCATGGACGTAGCGTCCGCGACGTCACCCGTGGGTTTCTGAAGAGCGTTTTGAAGCAGAAAGTGGGCGGAGCCGGCCGTCGCCATCTTGGCAGCGCGTCAAGATGATGGGCAAAGAGGCGGGAGCTGGCTGCTAAAGCCACGCCCACCTAGCTCGACGGTGGTGACAGCAGTGGCAATCCACCTGTCACTCAAGTGGCCACGCCCTTAATTATGCAGAACTTTAAGGCTTAATATAATTTAAACGGATGAGTTATAAAAACATTCACCCTCCTCACAGTTGTCATGAAGGGCAAAATTAGCTATATAGACCAAAACCGCTTTTTGTACCAGGCTGTAAACATGTTTTTTTTCCTGCTGTAAAGTTGAGCATTTTAACATGCGGAGTCTAAGGCACTGACTCTCTTGCAGCCCGCCTCTAGCGGCCAGTCGATGAATTACAGTTTAAGTCGCTTCCGTGCTGGCTTCACGAGAGAGCGCGGAAGGTTGCCGCTCGCATATAACGCAGCTATTCCTCGTCGCTTTGGATTAAAGCGCCTACCAAATACAAACCCACTGTAATTAACTCACACTTCTCACAAACAATATACATGTCGAAACAAAAAAATAACAGCGACTAATGTTCCCAATACTATTGAAGCATAAATCAGCATCTGTCCGTTTGAACCCATCAGAGTTAGCGTTAGTGTTCACCTGATCTTCCTCCCAGTCATCCATGTCGAGCAGCTTCAGGCGATCTCCAACAGCTGTGCCACGA